TAATAAATTATGCGCAACCAAGCGTACGCGTGCCCACACATAAGCGCACGTATACGCACACACATTTGGGAGGCTGGCATCCGATCGGGATTGAGAGATCGAACAAAACCTCTTTAAGAGTGAACGAGGAGGTAACAGGAAAGGATTAGGAATCTACCAAGTGATGAGAAATTGTGAGCACATGGATCAAGTAGCAAATGGATTAGATGACAGCATAAGCTTGGCGTGTGTGTGTGCTTGGAGCGATTGTCGTCTGAACCGCTACACTACACGTGGTGGACATTCTTCTGAATTCCTTCGGACGAGGTCCGATAGCTGCGATGGACGGATAATATTTAGAGATCACATTTCCTGTGGACAGCGGTTACTACGAGCACAAATGCTAATGAGGGAAACGTATGAATGCAGAAATAGATCATCAGCTGCAGCAACAGCCGCATTGTTCGTTTGACGTTTAGGCAAGTCTTTGCTTATCATAGATGTAGAACATAGGCAGTTAAGTACGTATTCACATCGTGTAACCCATGAATTCTAGGATTCAAAGACAGGCATCTTATTTCACTCATATTCATAAGCAAGGTGAACTCGAATGGTATCTTGCGAAAGCTACGAACGATCCTTTTCTAAATACGTTTTCTGAGGCTCCAAAACATTTTGTTTTCTGGATGAAACTGACTACAGGCGATGTGCCGTAGGATGAATCCATCGAACAAATATACCATGAATAAAAGTGAATAAATTTTCAGTTCTACTAATCAAGAGCAGTCTAACCAGTTCGATCGATCGATCGACCGATCTTAGGCAGTCAAGTTTCAATCACGTACATCGACCACAAAAAGAGATTACTGTAATTGCACGACATTGCATGAAAATATCGATCAATGATTACGTGCGTTTATGCGTGTATACAAATGATATCAAGCCAACTGTTTTTATCCAGGCAGTTATGGAACAGAATAGTGCACATATGAGTAGAATTCAATATCTGATTCATCTTTAACGACATGCATTTGACTGAAATCAATAAAGAAATTAGGTGCAACGTCCCACATTTGTTGTAAATGCGTGCCAAAATATAGCAAAAATGATGCACCATCATTTCACTGACCCGGGAGTTATATAGAAATGGACCAACCATCACAAATATTCCATAGTAATATCTGATAACTGAGATGTTTTAATGAGCATTAATTAAGGGGACAAAATGAAGTGCGAATTTGTGATGAGTAAATAGGTGAGTATGGTTACGAAATATTTGACATTCAGTGACTTGAGCCTGATATTTGAACTGACGTGATCTTCATATTTAGCAAATGGAGCTACCGTGATCATGAATTGAGAGAACTGTGAGAAGTTAGTAGTCAAATAATTTATCAATTTATTTAAGCTTGAACATTTTAACTAATCGGTTTATTCACTGTACACTTCTTAGAATACGTTGGTTCACCCTGATAGAGACTCTCATGAAACAGGAATTATTTATTAGAAAGAATGGATTTCTATGGTACTTCGCATAAAGTATTTTCCAAATCTGAGTCATAACTTTCAAACCACTACAAATTTTTATCGCAACACTCAAGGTCACTAGTGTTCAAACGGTGATGGAAGAGAACTAAGAAAATAGATGCTGGAGATAAAGTCACGAGTAAATATACACTTCACCCACAGCCATCAATATTATATTGGAAATTGAAATGTATTTCCGTAATTCGAGTCATGTTACACGAGTTTCATCTTTCTCTCTCTCTCTATATATATATATGAGTTTCGTAGGTGAATGAATGGAAATCTAGCTACCTTGCCACTGACACACAAGTTTGTTAAAACGTTGGTTTCTTGCTATCTCAATGCAGGACATTTCATGATGTTTGTAATTGGACTAGGTGATCTCACGGAGTAAGCTGTTCGGTCTTGGTAGGAATGAGCATGTACTCATAATACTGAGCTTTATACCAAAAGGACCTCAGGAATACAGTGGACCGTTGTTCTTTTGGGAGTTCTTTTAGAATAAATGCACTATATCTGTATTGATTATAGTTGTATGTTTACCATGTGAACTGCGGATGATATCATCTTTCAACATTGATGACGAACACCCAATCACAACGGTGTGCTCGGGGAAAACAACAAGCTTACCTTCTGAGATTAGATAATCATTGAGCAACTGGAAAAGTGGAAAACTGTCCCAACAATCTGGGGGCATAGTTTCCAACACGGTGGTCATATCGGTAGAAAAGAAGCTCCAAAATAGTTCCGCGTGTTCCGTGAGTAGATCGTGAAACCAGGCAAATGCCTGTCATCAAACAAGCATAAGATGAATTCGGGAGTGGGAAGTTGACCATATTAAATGTTTTTATCACCAATGCACATCATATTGAAAGGTATATCGATCGAATGTCATAATTGTCATGAAAGCTGTACAATTTCTAATGCAAATTTGTAATTTCAAATGTTGGTTTCACAAAAAATGATCGATTTTAATTCTATATTGTACAGTACGAGCCAATTGTGATGCACTAAAATACTTTCTTTCCGATCAAACTGAGTTTCGTTATATTTATCACCTATATGGATGCTTTAAGTATGGGCAATAATTTATCTCTTGTCTACTTCGATCTACGTAGTTTCTGGTCTGCATAGTTGTTAATTGAACACACCTGACCTTGGTTACCAGGATAAAATAATCTCAACATGAAAATCGCAAACTTTATCAAGTATGAAAACGAGATATATTCCAATGGGAGCGACCCAAAAATTATACTGCCGAAATGGGAGTATCCGCGCCACATCCTGAACCATTCCATCTGCTGAGTATAGACGAATCAAGAAAATCACTGCTATAAAGACTCATCAAGGTTTTTTATTTTTATTTAGAAAAAATAATTACTTCGGTATAAATACTGTTGCCTATACTAACCCACAAGTGTTTCACAGGGAACCGTTGCTTCAGTTTCGATTAGACCTGTACACATTCTGTCGGGCAGTATGGTTTGGCAGAATGAATGTTTAGAAGGACTGGTGACGACCTTTTAGAATGTACAGCGTACAATGTGAATGGTAAACTGGTATTGGGGATACCAAATCAGATAAAATATTTCTGAATATATTGCAACGTGATATTAACCGTATCACACAGTATTTTCCCTAGATGATGCACCTATTGCATATGACAAACTAAATGTCACCTATGGGGTAAACAGGATGATACCGATAGGTTTATTTTGTGATTGGTCAGGTTTGTACACGATTAACGATTATGACTGCGAATAGTTGTGGCTTTGCAGGGCAAGTTCACCTGCCAGAGGTAAACTACCACGTCCGCAGGCACACTTATTGGTCATTCACACAACCGCTTATTCAGTGAAGCGATGACTACTACCTTTTGCACATTTCTGTCCTAGAGGAATGTTTTCCTATCTGCAACCTGAAGACGAGCTCGATAGAACTGAGCTTACTACTTCCGGAATATGAAATCAACTCTACAAACCCCCTTGTCACCCATAGCTAGACGGGCACGTTATCCAAAATCAAAATCACCATCCTGCGCTTGACTGTATAGTGATCCCATTTGTTCTCAACACTTATGCACAACCCACTCACTATATTCTTCAATTAGCGAGATACAACCATCGGAGCTTTTTGCCTGGGGTTAATGATTGTACGTCATATACAAGTTTTGTTCAGCGAATTCATTATTTTAAAGTCATCGCCATTCTCAAGACCTCAATAACTCTAGTGAAATAATCACCAAGTGAAACATCAAAAACCTATTCAGATCACAGAGTGAAATGTTTTAATAAATTTGCAAGTTATCACAACTTAAGGTATTCAGTCTACTCACCCACCAAAAATCAGAATAACTAACATTCAAATGTCCAAATTTTTCCCGAAAATATTTAGGCGACTATTCTATTACATCACAAACTGATTAGTATAGGATTTTTCCTATTCTGTCAGTCTGTCTCATAGGTTGTGTCAAGTTACAATCGTACTAGTTGCCTTCACCTTTGCCTGACTGTCGAGGTGACAGCGAATCCGATTACTATCCGTCAAGGCAAGTGGCGTCGCATTCGCAATTAGAATCGCACTATAAATCACGTGCATCCAAGAATCCAGGCAAACGTCTCTGGACAGAGGGAATAGTTGCGGGTTCATTTAGAAGGAAAATGTAACCGATTCTGGTGAAAAATGGCTAGCTTAAGATTATATGGTTAATATTTGAATTTGGACTTGAGAAACCATAATTTTGATTTGCAACACCGTCTTTTTGAAATGAGAAATCATCACTTTGACTTGAGAAAGTAACGCTGTGGTTGAAACCGCTTCCTTTCAGCTCAGCTCATTGGTCAATTGACCCCCCCCCCTCCACGGATTGACCACCGGTCTTCCCACACTCTTTCTGTGTTGAAATGAGGGGAACCTCAGTCATGCATCCTGTCGAGCTCTGTGGCGGACGTTGAATCGGTGGGTCCGTGAAGCCATGCTATTTGCGTGTGACAACCAAGGTGGACGCCACTCGATCTGCACGAAGGGTGACGCACTGTTTCATGCGCACTACAGCTAAAATATATTTGTTCGTAGTTGCTCTGACATTAACGATAGCCCATTAATCAAGGCTGACCACAGTAAATATGACCAGGGACGAGTTTTGTGCTTACGATACAATCCGAGCGATGTACTTTTCAGTACGAGTATCATGGGTCTATGTGAATAACAATACTTGTTCAGTGACAGAGGTTGGAGTTCTTCAGGTGAACTTGGGTGAATGGGTTGACTGCCATCAATGCCCTAACTACCAAAACCACCTTAAGTGTACCTCAGCCATTTCTAGCTCA